CCTCAGGGCACGGAGCAAACCACGCGCTTCAGGAGGGCACCTTAACAGCTGCATCCTTCCCATGTTGGACTCTATTTCCCAGAGCATCAGGGCTGGCTACGGGCACTAGGGCTGTAGGATTGGGCAGTGCCAGCCTCATCCCTATAGGGAATCCCCAAATTTATACTTGAAAATGATCTGGCTGTGAAGTTATGACTGTTTTGAGTTGTATCTACAATTCTTTTGCTAGGTGTTTTATGCTCAGAGGTGGTTTTGTGTCACTTTGGCTGCTGTGGAAGGGGAGAGGGTGCAGACAGGAGATGTGGGCATCCCCATTTCGGGCAGCTGTGGAGAGGCACCACATCCCATCACAGACTACAGGCTGCCCCTGGAATGGTGGCAGAGCTCGTTTGTGGCCCTCATTAGTGGCACCTGGCAGAGCCACCGCAAGCACGGGGGCTTGGGAGCCACCGAGGGGGGAGATGCCACCTTGGGCAGACGCAGGACCAACTGTGGGAGTCTCCGGTGGCTGAGCTGGTCCCCAAACAGAGTCATCATTTCGCCATATCCTGGCTTAAAATATCAGTGTGTTTGAGACTGAAATCTGAGGGTTTTCCTGGAATAAACAAGCCTTGTCTGTCCCAGAGCTCCCCAAACAAGGTCTCCTCTGGACAGGCAGGCAAGTACGTTCACAGCCCAGGAATGCTGTTTTTACTGCTCCCTGCCACTGGTCAGCTGCGGACCCAAACCAGCCTCCTTGAGGAAAACACCACCACGTGCCTCCAGAAGGATCAGCCCGGACCACCAGCACAACTGCTTGGCCTCGGTGGGGAGCACCGACACATCCCTGACCAGAGAGACACCCAGGGCTGGGGGTTTCCTGGGACAGCGTGGGGTGGTGGACCTCCTCAGCTGGTCCACAGGGATGGAGACCATCACCTGCCTTTACACGGGTGGCAAAAAACATGTGCAGTAAAATTTCCTTTGGCGAAATCGCTTAAAATGCACAACACGGCGACACGTTGAACACGTCCTGCGGATTTGGGATGTGTCGTTTTTAGGGGGAGGGATGAGCGAGGCTGAGCTAGGGGAAGAGCCAGATGTGGGGTTTTACTGCTGGTTCACCCATCGCCAGGAGCGAGCAGAGGCTGTTTGGGATCGCCCAGATCGCCGTCCCCCCGTGGAGTGCACTGACCCCATCTACGGGTGAGACTACTTAAGGCTAAACACGCAGAGTATTCCTGAAATCCTCTTGGGCTGGAGTTGTGCTGGCACTACTCGTAAGCCCCGAGAGCCAACTCCACGGCTTCAGCGCCGTTGTACAGGGAAAGGCTTCCTCCCCCCTTCCAGAGCACCAGGAGCTCCTTCGAATCACTGTGCCGGGGTTTAAAATTGGTGACAAAGCTGTTACAGCAACAGGTGTAGATTCCAAAGCAGTTTAGGACTGAGTGATGTGGAAGATCACAAAGTGCCGTGGGATATTTCATATATATGTATATATATATAAAAAACATATATGTTGCCAGCATAGGTAGTGTTACCTGCTTACATCTCTGTTAGATGTATTAATAAATAATTAATAAGATATTTTTAATAAATGAGACAGTGATGATTCCAGACTAAAAAACAATCCCAGAGCAGAGCCTGAAGTTTGTCATAGAATCCTAGAATCGTTTAGGTTGGTCCTCCTATCCCACAAAACCCCAATCTTCCTGCTTGGATGGGATTGAAAAAAACCAACCCTAAACCAATCCCAAACCAACCCCTTCCTCGCTCCCACCCACCACTAATCCTCCTCACCTCCTCCCACTCCTGCAAAGCAGCCAATTAAGAGGAGATCAATAAGGAGGAGAGGTTTCCCTTCCCTTCTTTCACAAAAAAAGGCAAACGCTGCCGACATCCCTTTAAGCACCCCGCTTTGAGCATCCCCCCAGGAGCGAAGCCGGGCGCGGACGCGAGTGGAGCCGACTCACCATGGTGCTCATGAGGATGTCGGCGCAGTCGGGGAGCTCGATGGCCGGGGCTGTGATCAAAGTGTTTTCTCCCTCTGAGGCCCCGTCGAGGCTCCTGGCCGTCCGGAAAGGAACTTCATCCAGGTAGCTCATCACCGCTGCCTGAGTTCTCGCTGCTGGACAAAGGGATGAAATAAAACTGTGAAAGGCAGGACTGGCACCTTTGCAGTTGGGTGGAAGGAGGGAAAGATGAGCTATTTCGAGTGATGCCGGTGAGAGGAACGCAGCCCTTAGAGATGCTGCCAGCCGAGTAAAAACCGCTGTGTGCAATGCCCGGGTTTGCAAAATCTTAATTATGGATACCGAGATTTGTCTGAACTAACCTTTGCTATCCTGAGCTTGAGCCAGCAGGACCTGCCCAAGCTTATCGCTTCATTTGGCAGAGATCCTGAGCATTTTTCTCCTCCGCTTCCACCTCCATGCATGCCCCGCTGCTTTCCATCCCTCCTCCTGCCTCTCCCTCTCCCTCTGCTGCCCGTCGCACGCTCCCTATCCCAAGCTGGGGACAGACTGAGCACTTTTTCCACTTACAGAGGCAAAACCCACGGCCCAGAAGAACACCTCCCAGGTCTCCTCTCTCTGTGTGACCCGGGAGCACATGTGGTCACGGAGCTCTTGCATGTGGCCACGTGCTGCTAAGCCATCGCACGGAGCCGCCCGGGGAAGCTGGGGTGAGGACAACCTCTCCAGCGCCGCGGCAGCTTGGCGAGAGCCAGACAAGGGGACTGGTGCATCAGGCAAGCTTCGGTGTCAGAGGGATGTCAAACGAGCCATTTTAAGGCCAGATTAGCTTTTAACAACCATCGAGTCATTTTAAGTGCGGTCGTGTTTTTTAGATGAGGAATAGCAGGGGAAAGAAACATTTCTGATGGACTAGGAATGGTGGCGTGGAAAATCCTACTGCAATAGCGTAGCCATCAGCTCTGTATAAATGTCTCAAGTTAGTAAAAAGCCACTACTTGCTGCACAAAGCTTCAAGTCTTCAGCTTCCCAGTGACAACAGCGTGCCAGATCATTTCCTTTATAAATTGTCAGCTGGCAAGAGCTGAGGTCAGACTTCCACCAAGGTCTGGTACCTGCAGCCTGTGCCTGTTTATCCCAAAGCAGCCATTCTCAGGACACAAAGAGTAAAGACTTGGTGTGACATCTGTTAAGTGCTTTTACCTTTACTAATGTTTTGGGCTATTTTTTCCTTTAAAAAGAAATGGCTTCTATGACAATGAGGATAAACACTGCACAAAAAGAGAATAAGCAGATGAATGCATAGAAGGAAGAAAGAGCTGCCTGTTTAATGCAAAAATAAGGGTGTACAATGGGAAAGGGCATTCAAGGTAGCTCCTTACGTTAGCAGAGGACAAACAAACTGCTTCCAGACCACAAAGAGCGACACGAACAACCGCTCCGTGCAATCCAGTTGCTCTTATCAGAATTACAGAAGAGTTGAGACTCGCCTGCCTACGCCAGCAGCCTGTAACGCCCGGGGCTGCAGCGCAGGCAGAACCTCTAACCGGCTTTGCGGCTCCCGCACGTGTCCTGCTGCGGACACGCGGCACGTTGCAACGTGTTGGGAGCCCGCGTGGAGCCAGGCCACCTGCTGCCCAGCCTAAGAGGGCTCAGCTAAGCCCCAGTCCACGTCAGCGCTGACAAAGACAACGCGTAGGAACATCTGGAAGCGAAGCCGCCTTCCCCCGGCTTGCTCCGACTCCTCCGCACTGCCCCGGCCTGCCGGAGGGATGGATCCTTCTCAGAGCTTACGCTGTAGATCAGCTCTTCCCAAAAGTGGTACTGACCACTGCCGCTGCCAAGCAGGGGCAAAGGAAAGGAGCATCTCGTCGTCCCGCCACGTGTAATGGCTTTACTTGGGTTTAAATGTGACTTGAAGGGATGGAGATGGGTAGGGAACGGGTCTGAAGCCACGACAAAGAAAATATGGAGATTAGATCAGAAATATGGAATAAAATCTTCAGTCTGAGGGTAGTGAGGCACTGGACCAGATTGCCCAGAGAAGCTGTGGCTGCCCCATCCCTGGAAGTGTTCAAGGCCAGGTTGGATGAGGCTTTGAGCAACCTGGTAGAGTGGAAGGTGTCCCTGCCCATGGCAGGGGGGTTGGAACTGGATGATCTTTGAGGTCCCTTCCAACCCAAACCATTCTACGATTCTATGATTATGGTACCACATCTCACTGTATTTCACTGCATAAACACTGTGCTCCGAGAAAGGCTCCCACAAGTGTTAATTCCCCAAACCAGTGTTTAGAAAAAAAGAAGTACAACTGGGGTGAGGAGTGATGACAACGAAAACGCTACTAGACAAAAATAAAAGAGGAAACACCAACTTAGACCAGAAAGCAACTCCTGCAAGGGTTCTGACCTCATCTCCTTCACGCCAGCCCTGCCCACTTTCACATCAAAGACACAGGCTGGCAAACGAAAAAATTTGTATCAGGAAAAGGATGCACCTTAAAAGCTCAAGAAACTTGACCTGAACTAGGACCAGGAAGGAACAGGATGCAAATGAGTCTCAGAAACTCACAGCCAACCCTCACTCTTCTTCTGGGCTATAATAACTTTTTAAAACTTAACTGTAGGAAACACTATACTCAGACAAACTTGAGTCTTCAATCTGCACACACAAGTTTTCGTTAAGAATTAATGCCCCGTCTCCATGTATTTTATGAGTTAAGATTTTAAACATTTCTCTTCCATCTGTGGCTTCAACATCTTCCTCACTAAAAAGACACAACATTTTAGTGCAGATGTCGCTGGACAAGAGCAAATACGTAGAACAAACCACGTGTTTGACATATACCTAAACATCCATCACCCGCTGGCACTTCCGAGTCCTATTCCTACCAACAATATGAAGTTATCCTTACCGTCAGACAAAATCATGGAGCTCTTCCCGCCGTGCAGGGAGGAGAGAGCTGCTTCTCTGCTGCCTGGCTTATCTGCTGCTCAGTTCTTTAAATTCCCACAGCGTCAGACAAGCAGCTGACTTTGACAGTTTTAAGATTATCGTCGCTTACGCCGTCAGCCTGTCTCATCAGCCACGCTGATGAGATAACGAGCCCAGCTATTTAAGCGGAGCATCCTCCGGTCACTAAGTTTCCTGATCAGAAAGTGGTGTTTCTGCAATTGCTTTCATGCTATTTGAACTTTTGCTTTTTCATCAAGTAAGAGTCCCCAGGATCTGACCCAGCCAGAGGTCCTGGAGTCTCCAACAAGATGCTAGAAGTGAGAGTAGGGATGGCAGGACGTACGGACATGCAAATCAGACGCCCCACCTCCAGGGGACTTCATGGTGATCCGTATTTTGGGGTGCTACTGGAGGGCGATATACACGTGAACAAGAGCTGCAAACTTCTGCACCCGGAAAAATTCCATCAAAAATTACCAGTTAGTGTAATTCCATTACAGAAATCAGGGCAAAGCTTCAGCCAAGAAACTCTCAACCCTACACATAAGACCCAAGCATCGAAATTAGGCAATTACATGTTGCCTCTTCCATGAATTACACAAAGTTGTGATGTGAAGAGGTTAAGGAACTGGAGAGATTTAAACCCATTCCCACACATTAGGTGGAATGACGACTTCAGCTCTGGAAAGATGCCACGACAATCTGCGTAGACCAGCAAAGCCCCAAATCCATACGGCCCACGGCTGTTCCAAGCAAACTGTCCAGCACACGGAAGGTTTTGAAATCAGACACCTCTGTCACCTTGTAGGAGGGACAAGTTCCTTCACACAAATCTTTTGCCAGCAATTCTCTCCACATCGGAGTCGCATTTGATGCCAAGTACTAGGATAAATCTCTCCCTCGGAGCAAAAACCCTTCAAACAACAACAAAGATAATCTATTTTTCTCTAATTACTCTGTACAAAAAACAACTTAGAAAATAGAGTTGTATTTTTTAATCGGATATTATATACACGAACTGTCCCTATACAAAACCAGGTATATATGCAAAAACACAATAGGTGAGACTTCAGATTTTACTGTTTTTTTTTCCAGCAGGCTTATTCATGAAATTTATATATATTCACACGGCTGTCTGACCTATTTCACCACAACTGGGAATTTTTTCCATGTTGTGGTACCCATTTTAGTCCACGAAAGTAAAACGTCAACAGCTGCTTTACCCAACCTTGAAAAACCCTGTCTTGTTTGTACTTTAGAATGTTTAAACTTGTAAGAGGCTCGTTTCCACACACAAAAATACAGAAACTATTTTGAAAGCGATGCTTGACATGCTTCATTTAAGAAGAAAAACATGTTTACTAATGATCTCTTTTATTTTTTTTAAAACTTCTTTATTTCTGGAGATTTCATCATCTGGATTCAGGCTCATAAAGATAAAAGTCACCAAAAATAGGATGTTAATACTGGCACAAATACCCTTGTCAGCAACGTTTCTTTACCAAGTCACTGAGGGACTGCAATTCTGTGCCACGAGAGGCCCAGCAGCTTTGGGCTTGCTCAGGTACTTCCCTGCAGGGTGTGATGGCAAAACCCAGTTCTTACACTTTTCTTCAAGATATTCCAGTACCTGGCTACCAAAACAGAGGATGAGGCTTCCTTGTCAGACCCTCTCATGTTCACACTCGCGATTATAACGAAACATTCCTTCGATGTTGAAATAATTTATTACTAAATTATCTGACAGCTGTGGCCCAAGTGTCATTTGTGGGGTGACTTGGAAGAACCCATCCTGGAGGGATGCAGCTTCCTTCAGGGTGATCAGCTGGCACCAAGTACTGATCCCATTCGTGCCTTTAACAGAGAAAGTGTTGTTTGAGAGGAGAGCTGGTAGGAATTTGATAGTAAGATTTATGATATACCAACACAGGCATCTTTCCATACCGATTAATACACAAAACACTACAAATTGTACTCTGAAACTTGTTTTTCAAAACACAAATCTGAAAATTATATGTACTATTCTATCAAATGGAATGGTTATGCATGGAATTACACTCTGCCTCACACAGGCATCTGTTGGATACAACTCTATCAATCATGGAATCATAGAATCACAGAATGGTTTGGGTTGGAAGGGATCCCAAAGATCATCTAGTTCCAACCCCCCTGCCATGGGCAGGGACACCTTCCACTACACCAGGTTGCTCAAGTGAGAAGCTTGATCCTTAGCTGAAAAAAAAAAAGACAATTCACTGCATAACCATATTTGGAAGTTAACAAACCAAAAGAGACCATAATTCTACAATCTCAAACAAACAGTATTTGTCATTTTTGATAATAAAATAAAGACTTTGTTTAGTTTTACCTGATTTGGATTAGAGCTGCTACAGAATGCTCAGCTTGTAAGTAATACTCTCTGAAGGGCTGCAATAGGTGGGCTAGAGGAAATTCATCTGTTAAAACACAAACACAGAAATCGCTCAGTAAACCACAAAGACCTTCAATTCCAGTAAGTCCTAAAAGGCCCAAATTTGCCAAGTCATTTGCTGCTCCCCAGCTATAACCTGAAATCACTTCCCTATGTAATATATTGAGGACTATTTACATGTTTTGCACGTCTCCTCACCCTTACCAGAGCTGTCAGAGGCAAGTTGAGACTAGCAAAACTTTTCCTGTCTCCATCCTCTAAACAAGGGGAACATATGGACACTGATTCTTTACAGATTACCCGAGTCACACTTACCACATCACCAGACTAAAGCATCTGTTGGGTGCTGGAAGTCTTCAATCTATTCTGTTCATTCTCACTTCAGCTTAATCCACCACCTCCTCACGCAAAACATTATGAAATCGGCTTGAGACATACTGCAGTCTATGCTGAAGAGCTAAACACTTCTTCTGACACCACATGTGTTCACAGCACACTATGTTTATCCCATCTTTTCCTCAGAGCATAAATTGCTCCAGTGGATGATTTCTTTCTCAACATTTTTGTGCCTGCATTTTTAAACCCACTGTCTGAGATGGGGGTGTGGTGTGGAAAAATACTGTTAAGTATAGCATGCAGAATTTACCTGGATCCCCAAACAGTTTGGAATCAATTTCCAGTTTCTGCTGTAGTAGTTTTTCCCTTTCCTTCTTCTGTTTCTTTTCCATCTCTCTCTTCCTTTCTTCCTCCTGTTCTCCCTCCAACATAACTCTCAACGCTCTCTCCTCAGCTTCATACAGCTCTGTGCGATTTTTGAGCAACGTTTTGAGACTCTCCACCTGGTTTTCAAATGCTTCATCTGCTGAGGGGGGAGGACAAACACCTAAACAGAAAGACAACTGATTTTTAATTTTCAAATTCAGAAGGGGCTCTGTTATCAGATGCGAGAGTGGAGCTGGCAACATGTCAGAGGAACATGAGCTTAACCTTGCCAACAACTCTCTCACTGGAAAAATTGAGTCTTTCTATCAAAAAAGATCTTGGAAACGTAGGAACACAGTCACTGTATTCAGCATTTTATAGCTATTCTTGCATAACAATGTAACTAAAATTACTAATAAAGAAACAGGTTTTTCAAGCTGCATCTTGCTAGTCAGCACAGGGCACACACATCATCTTATTTCCCGTGTGCACAATTAAAAAAGTTTGGTAAAAATCTCATCATTAACCTTTTCTGCCAGCAGCCTCTTTTCTCAGTTTCCGGAGCTTTTCTAACGCACACAGGACGTCCACCATCCTCTTTGTGTCTGCTTGTTTCTTCCGTACTTCAGATAAGACACTGTCTGCAGCAGCCTTAAGTTCTTGTTCCTACGAAAGAAAGAAAAAAACAAACCAGACGTGAAATATCCCATGTAAAGAAGAATGAAATGCTACTGTCAAAAAGATCAGTGAAGATTTTGATCTCCAGTGCTTATCACAGCCTTCCAGTACTTAAAGGGGGCCTACAGGAAAGCTGGAGAGGGACTTTTTACAAGGGCATGTAGTGACAGGACCAGGCATAATGGCTTTAAACCGAAAGAGAGGAGATTCAGCTTGGATATAAGGAAGAAATTCTTCCCTCTGAGAGTGGTGAGGCACTGGCACAGGTTGCCCAGAGAAGCTGTGGCTGCCCCATCCCTGGAAGTGTTCAAGGCCAGGCTGGATGAGGCTTTGGGCAACCTGGTGTAGTGGAGGGTGTCCCTGCCCATGGCAGGGGGGTTGGAACTAGATGATCTTTGAGGTCCTTTCCAGGCCAAATCATTCTGTGATTCTATGATTCTATGAAAATTCTATGATTCTACGAAAATAACTATTCTATGAAAATAATTCTATGAAAATAACTTCCTAGTATCACAGCCACAGCAAGTAAGTCAACCTCGCCTTTTTATGAAAAACCTAAGACATGAAAGACTTCAAGAAACAAAAAAAAATAATGCTCAGCAATGAATCACTTTGGGCCAAAACAGCTACTGAACTGATAAAGCCTGATAACCTTTAATCACAGAAAGTCAGGGAAAATATTAACAACCAACGTAAAGCATCCGGATTCTGCAGCTCAGCTACTGAGGACCATTAACATGCCACAGCCTGAACACACCACCTTTCCCAACAGCTGCTCTGTCCTGTCCCAGCAGCAGAGCTAGCACCAGCAGCAAGGTAGCTCTTTAGCCACCAGCAAACACAGGTGTGCCTACGCCACTTCCCAGCAAGCCTAACTTGAGGTGGGTGGGTTTTTTTTTGCTTTGGAGCTGTTTTACTCCCCAGCCAGACCTAAAAGCTTGCAAACAACCAGCTTTACAAGGACAAAGCCAGCAGGCAAAGCTCACGGTTACTGAAACGGTGCTGACCACCGCGGGGTGGCTGTGAGCACCGTGTGCCAGGCTCGAAGCTTGGAACCAGCGAGGAAGACCTCCGCACGCAACCGAGAGCTCAGAAACCACTTAAACCCAACTGCCAAGGCCTGGGACACGAGCGTGGCGAAGCCGAGATGCCCACCGAGGCTTTTAAGGAAGACGCAGGGCTGCACGCCTCGGGAACAGCGTGTTTCCGAGCAAGGGGCACCCACGCAGCGCCCGGGTGGCACCCACTGAGCCGCGGGGGCCAAGGCCAGGCGCCGGGCGGGCACAGCCCACCGCCGGCCAGTT